GATGATGATGATGATAACAATGATAAGGATGATGGTGATGATAACGATGATGATGATGGTATTGGTGATGGGGATAATTGGTGATAATGATCATGATAGTGATGATTAGACTGGATCGGGTGATGGGAATGGTTTTGTCGCGACTGATGATGGTTGATGGTTGGTGATGGTGGTGGCAGTGGTCATTAGTGTATGATTGTGATGAAAATGATGGTGATTTCAATGGCGATGATTGCGATGTCAATGATGACAATGATAGTAATGACGATGACGCAACAAAAAATGTTTCTTTATAAGCGAGTGTAATTGGGACAACAATATTGGTGATAGATTTAATTACTACTGACATACCGTCCTAACGTACACAAAAATATTCTTATAATACGGGCGGCAATAAAATCGTGTCGCTGACTTGTCGCGCACATTTGCGAGCAAATAGATCAATACACAGAAAGTTTTGGTGATGACGATGATAGTGAAAGGGATAGTGTAAGCGACTATGGCATGGGTAGTAGTAATGATGACAAAGGATGATAGTGTAGATGAGATGATGATTGTGGGTGGTCCTATGATTTTGAAGGTCTTGCAGATGATAGTTATGAATGATTATGCATGCTTCCTGTAACAGCAACAGTTTACTTTACCATAAAGAGATATATAAATGAGTGCCAAGTCAGAATGGAGGTATAATGCTACCTAAAATGACTAAAGCCGTTAGGTGACATGCTATGTGATATGAGACAAACATAGGGAAAACCATTTTAAAAAGAGTGTCTCGTACGCCTGATTTTGAAGATCCTCAAACAATGTTACTTTTATGAAATGTGTTTTTGTCACTCGGTACAGATCTATATGTAAACTTAATGCTACATCGAGTGTATAAGCAGATTAAGAAATCTGCCTCAGTTGGGTTCTCGCGGGACTCGAACAACTGACCTCTCGTTTGCATATAGATCATTACTTTTGACCTGATAACCCCTAATTCTAGTATGGATAAGGTCTGCATATGTGTTATAATTATGATGGTAACATCGCACTCGGTTCCTTATTAAGCTGTTATATTTTCCCTTGGAAACTTTACGTGTAATGTTCTACCATTGAAAGCGTCTTGCGATACAGAATAGGATACAGAATATCACTTTTCCTGGTAAAGACAATAGCAATAGTCAAGAGAATGCCACCAAACATGGGTGCAATGAAAACTTCTCAACCATGGGATTAAATGAAAATCTCATTTCCAAGGTGTTTGGAATAAGATCCACTCAAATCTTGCACAACAACGTTCAACTTTTGGACAGCTAAACATACATACATACATACATACATACATACATATTTTATTGTACCAAAAAGTAAAATAGAACTAATACAATGTGTATATAACGAATTAT